CTGTGACATGCCCCCCATCCTTCCTCCTTATTGGGCCCAATTTGTGGCCTTGGAAAGCCTCATTTCTGTCACATCCCTTACAAGGAAACCAATGGACTCTGAGGCATTAGTTCGTGTGTGTGTGTGTGTGTGTGTGTGTGTGTGTGTGTGTGTGTGTGTGTATGGTGGAAGTGGTGTGTGTGCATGTGTGTGATTGTGTGTAGGGAACAAAGGTTGATGTCAGGTAAGTTTCTCTGCCTTAAGTTTTGATTCAAGGTCTCTCACTGAACTTGGATTTCACTGATTTAGGTAGACTATGTGACCAGCAAGCCTCAGGGATCTCCGTCGTGACTCCCCATTGCCAGGAACAGGCACACACTGCATCACCTGCTTTTATGTGAGTGTTGGAGACCCGGGTTCTAGTCTTCAGGCATGCTTAGCAAGCACCTTACTGAAGGAGCTGTCTCCCCAGCCCCTTGGTTCACTCTTCACCTCGGAGAATCTGTTTCCAGTCATAGGACTTCCAGGCACAAGATACTCACCAAGGATTGCTCCTTCCAAAGTCCTTGTGTGACAGTGAGAACCATGCCCTCCCTGGCAGTCTCCATGTTGGGTTGCCTCAAGTAAAGTAGTCAGAGCAGGAAGGAAGGTGCTGGGCTCTGTCTTTCCCAGAACATCCTCTCATATAGTGGGAAATTACCAATACGGAGTCAGGTAGAAATGTAAGGGTATTTAATAGGGAAAAGCCTTACTTACAGAGCAACCAAGCCAGCCGGCGTGGCAGCGGTCTGTACGCAAGCCCAAAAGATAAACGAAAGAGAAAACGCAGTCCCCTTCAAGTCTGCTCTACGTCACCCTGACCATGCCCTCGCAAGTGTGGTCAGGCACACCTGTAGCCAGCCCCTAAGTAGGCGTGGCTACAGCTTCCCCTACACTCTCACTTATTGCCTTCTTAGCCCCTTGATTAGTAAAACATCAGGGCCTCACTTTCCTTTCTTGGCAACACATTTTATGTGATATTTGGACACTACTTATTATTGAGAAGTATTACACTACTTCTCAAGTGTTGCATGTTTCCACTCTCTAGTTTCAAAGTTAAACATTTCTTTAGAGAACATTTTGACCTATAGGTAAGGAAGAAGAGGGAGGGGAACCTATGGGAGAAGATGAGAGAGGGAATTCCAGTTCTATAGAACTTGGGTTCCCTTTTAGGCTGGGATTGCCAATAGGTTGCTTTTCATGGTTCTCCATGAAAGCCATCAGATAGGATTTTGCATGGCAGTATAGACCAGGGTAGGGTGGAGGGTAGTTTTGAAGGGTGTTATGGGCAAGAAATACTCTTGGAAGCTACTTGGAAGCCTCAGGGTCTCTTCCCAGTAGAGTTGCATTTCCTGAACCATTTGCTGTCTGACAGCCATCTGTTTACTCACCAAGAACTCCTCCTTCCAAAGTCCTTTCTCCCCACCCTGTGTGCATCAGCAATATTTAGACTGTGATATGATGGGAAAGGCTGAAGAATTAACTCTCCGGGGCTATATTGGTTTATAGTATTTTCCAATGGCGGCAGTGTGAATCCTTCCACCCCACAGGGCCACTGCATGCTGAGTCTGAGGTGGGTGGTGGCGCATCTGTGTAAGCATGTTGAGGCAAATGGCCTCAACAGCACAGAAAACGAAAAATCAGGAAGCGGTGAAGCCTGAGTGTTATCCTTGTTTTAAATAGAATTTATTTAATTGTAAGATTATATATAAGCTCATTTTTAGTAATGGTTGTAATAACTGGCCTACAAAATTCTAAAAATGCAACAGTGTGAATACAAGTCAGCTATTGGGCTGGAAGAAAAAGAGACAAAAAGGAGAGAAAGGGTACATTTAGTACTGAAATACTAAAGCAGGGCTTCCACGCCCTTCAGACTTATGACGGGGTCCTCAGGACCTAGACATGGCACGGATGGAGCTGGCTAGAAGCTTGACTGTAGAGACAGTTTTACTACTTGCTAACTGCAGTTTCTCATCTATCACGACACATAGCGGCAGCTTCATGAGGTTGCTTCGAGGATTACATGGTATAATATGCTCCCCTGGGCCAAAATGAAACTTTTTGTTGGTGACAGCCACAGGGTCTACTACGACAGTTATCCTGATCCATTTCTAAATGTGCCCGCACTGCAGGAATGTTAGATCTATGCCAGGTACAGGTTCATAAGCATGCTCACTGTTAGGGACAATCTGCATTGCATTGCTACACCTCTACCAGTCATTCATTTAGGCTCAGACTCAAGGAGAGACCGGCTTCTCTTTAAACACCTCCTGAACAAACTGCACACGGCTGCCAACTCAAATGCAACAACTGTGTTTTTCCTAAGTGCTACTGTCTGTCTACGCCCTCTATTAGACACAAATATTCCTCGGAGTCTATCACTGGGTTGAGTGTCTTGTCATGAGTGAGGCAACGGGGTTCCAGAATCTATGAACAAGAGGTCTGAGAGTGGGCGAAGGAAACAAAAAGACATGGAGCCACTGAGACCTTCATGTGCCTCCCCCTTCCCACCTCGCTGGGACCAGCTTACTTCCACAATGCTAAGAGGCCACTAATAGCGGATTTCCCTCCAGTCTTTCCCTCTGGATTCTCCTCATCACTGAATGGTGAAGACCCATTCAGTTTCCAAGTCTCCAATCCACTGCTGAAGCAAGACCCTGCTGAACACTGAGGGGCCTTCTTCCTGTTGAGAACACTAACCCTGAAGTGGTAGAGCCAAGTTTCATTTGTGGTCTGATGCATGTCTCTGAAACTGTTTATTGACAGAGTGATGGAGATTTACTCAAGACTAAAGTAGAGATTTACTCAAGACTAAAGTATTGCTTCCTTTTGGAAGCAATAACACTCAAACACTTTTTTTTCATTCCTCGCTTCTGTTATCAATTCACCAGTATTAGCTTGTTCCTTTGTCTTCTGTTCTTCACATATTAGTGTGGAGAGAAAAGCCATCTTGGGAGCACCATAGTTAGAAAAGAACACATTTCCTAACCTTTATTCTAAAGATTTCTAGGAACCACCATTTGAGTCTTTACCTGGGATCACTTACTCATAACATATGCGCAATCACAATAGCCTGCAGTTGTTCCTAGTTTGGCTCAGTAGCAAGGCAATGACAACATTGCAGGAGCCCCGAGGCCTGTAAGTGCTAAATGTATTCTTCTTGAGGTGTTGTGTGTTTGTTTAGTTGGGGCACCAATGATGTTACAAATGACCATCAGAAGCCAGGAGAGGAACAGTGGTTTCTGCCTTTAGACAGCTAGAGATGTCCTGGGTAGCAGGAAAGGGACCATACTATTATCAGTCTCTCTCAGGGCTGGTGTACCAGCCTTGGGCCTGGGCCCCCCATGGTTGGTGGTTGACGGTCCGCAGGACACAAGCTGCCTGATACCTCAGAGCTTCATCTTCGTGTTCCTCAGGCCCTAGATGGATGAAGCCTCAATTCAGAGTCCCAGCTATGACTGGGTGACTAGAAAGAACTGTTTCATAGTTCTATAAATATATGCTTTGAGTGTGGGCTACAACCAAAATGGCTAGAAAATCAACCAGTTTGGGGGACGGGTAGTACATTTTAAGATGAATTAATTTTGGTGGAGAAAAGATTGCTGATAGGCTGTCGGGACAGTCTGCCCAAAACTAAGTGTTCACTGGGAGGCCAGCCAGGCCCAACTGGTGTGCCTGAGGTAAGGGAATGAGCCAGAGAAAGGCCCACACAGCCCTATGGAGAGCTGTGCTGGCTTTGGGTGCCATGTTTTCTCCTAGCGCCTGACAGTGACAGAAATAAACAGAAAGAAAGCAGAGCGAGGACCGCCCCCCCCCCACACACCCTTTCTTCTAGTGCAGGAAGGCCTTCCCCAAAGGCTGATGCATTGTTCTAACAACAAAACAAGAGAGAGCAGCCTCTGTGGGGTGGGGGGTGAGGGTGAGGGTGAGGTGAGGGTGGGGGTGGGTGAGGCTGGAGGTGGGTAGGGAGTGATCCTTCTGTACATGCTTAGCTTCTAAGCAGCCATGTTTATGTGCTGAACCAGGCTACAGAGCATGTTAGAGAGCAAGGAGAGTAAAGGGGAGGCCCAGAGTGTGCCAGCATCAGCTCTTCAGGCTGGAGGTCCTAGTTGCTTCTTTCTGGGATCCCCATGTTTGATGGCAAGTCTTATGTATAACCCATCGAGGACAGAGTAGCTCTCTGTCTGATACAAAAATGTGTTACTTTAGTGGGGTGGGGTGATGGATTTATAATTCATGAATTTAAAATGTCTCACTGAGGCAGGCAGGTGCACCCTCCCAGAGGTTAGAGGTCAATTTGGTGCTGTCTTTTTTCTTGCAGCTCTTTCCCTGCATCATAATCGTGCTTCTCACCAGAGGCAAAGCGATTTTCAGAAAAGCACCAAGAACATCTGGGCTTAAATTGCAAAGCAAAAGGGAATGGCATGGCCAAGGGAACCTGAAAAATAGAGGGTTTGTATCTGACAGCTGTCCCGGGCCTGGATCAGGTGATGCTTCTGTTTGTGGAGGAGACACCATCTCTCATGCTCATGCAGCTTAGCTTTGACACCTGGGTTCCAGGAAGGTATCAGCCACAGCTGGCTGGGTCTTCTTCCCAGACAGGCTCTACCTGAAACAGCCTGAAAAGAGAAGGAGGGGCTGTTTGGAAGCCACACCCCCTTTAACTCCAGGGCTCTGCTTCTTGGTGTTTGCTCCCTGCCGAAGCAGTAGAGAAAAAGACCAATGGTGGCAGGAAGTAACTGTTCTGGCAGAATCTTCTAATTGTTCTACAAAACTTTACCAACAACACAGGACAGATTTCACACAAAGATCTTGAATCATAGGTGTTTACATAACATAACGCTCATAGCAGATGAATACTAACACCACAAATTACCTGAGACGAAAAAGAAAGAAAAGAAGCAAGGGAGGGAAATAAGAAGGTCCAGACACCTGGAGGCCCAAGGTGCACAGGCAGCGCGAGTGCCCAGTGGCTCCTGGCCTCACATCTCGGCATCCCTGGCGCCGACCTCCGTAGCAGTGATGGCGATGCCAATGGCGAGGCTGCCGTTGTCAGAGAAGAGCTGGGCCAGTGAGGTGTTGAGAACCAGGCAGTCCCCATCAGTGATGACTGAGTCCACACACTCCAGGACGGATCTCGGGGTGGCCTCCCATTTGAGACGCCTGTGGTTTCTGTTGAGCTCCAGGCGATAAGTGAAGCAGTCGGCCTGGGTGGGGGTCCCAATGAGCATCATGGTAGCAAAGAACTGAGGGTGCCCTTCGTGTCGTTCCTGCTTCCTGAGCACCAGCAGGAAGTGGTGGCCCAGGCAGGAGTGCATGATGATCCAGTCGGCTGGCGCTGGGAGGTGCATGTCCGTGGCCAGGAAGACTATCTCTGCTCCTTGCAGAATGTCGATCCTGTGGATCTGCCGCAGGTGAGGCACCACCACCTCTAGGTGGCCTTCCCACTGGCAGGAGAAGAGTGGGCACAGGCAGGGTGTCACCTGAGCGCTGTGCATCCCTGCCTCCTGGTGGTGGAGGTGGCCGGGACGGGCATGGTGGCACAGGTGGCTGTGGTGACAGTGGTGGCGATGGTGGTGGTGAAGATGATGCGGGTGGAAGCTCCCTTGCTCTGTGGAGTTCTGAGTGATGGCCCGTCTACTGGACACATACTGAAAGGAAAGAGAAGAGCATTAGTGGGGGGTAAGGCTTGTCTCTGGCGCCAAGCGTGGCTCTCCCGATATTACGAGCATTAAAGGCAGACTGTACAAGAAGGCATGGAATCTCTGTCTCTTTCCTTCCCTTCCTCCCCCCCGCCCCTACACTGGCTTTGCCTGATAAAATGTAACCCTCACTTTTCATCAAAGACGCTTCTCTTTGCAGACGGAGACTATTACAGAAAATCACAACTCATCAAAATGCAGAGAACGAATGGTCTCATGAGGCGCCCAGACCCAATGCATTTATCTACAACACAAGTCCCGTACCGCAGGCTCAGGAAACATTGAGGAAGAGGGGTGAAAAGATTGTAAGAGCAGAGTATCAGAATGTCTGCTGTGAGATTGTGTCCCCTAGAAAAAACAGGATACTTATTGCAATAACATGGCTACATAAACAAGACCTGAAGAAGCACAACACCAATAGACATTCTAATATGGAATGGAAATCTCCCGGGACCCTGCTCCCAGACAAAGAAATATAGACAAGGAAGGAATTCTGCGGTAGAGAGAAATGGCCTCCTCCAGGGATGAGCCCATTAATTAGTTATATAATACCAAGTGGCCAGGCCTGTGTACATTACAAACAACATTGAACAGATTTAGAAGGTTGCAGTTACATATTCATACATATATATCTATATCTATATATAGATATAGATATAGATAGATGTAAGGATAATAATTAAAGAAAAAGAGGCCATGAATTTGATAGGGGGCAAGGAAAGGCAGGAGAGTTTGGAAGGAAGACAGGGAAGGGGAGAAATGCAAAACTGTTAGAGTAATAATATAAACGAGAGGAGTGATATGAAATTGCTCAGAGGGTAAAGGCACTCGCCACCAAGCCTGATAACCTGAGTTCTATCCATAGGACCCAAGTGGTAGAAGGAGGGAACAAATTTCCTCAATGTGTCCTTTGACCCTTTCCCACTTGTATGGTTACTCAGTATATGTACACACACACACACACACACACACACACACACACACACATTTTTTTAAACGAGGCGGAGAGATAGCTCAGCAGGTAAAGTGCTGGACCTGTATTTGATCCCTAGAACCCACACTAAGAAACAAACAAACAAACAAACAAAGCAGGTGTGGTGGCACACACTTGTAGTCCCAATGCTGAGAAGATGGGACAGGCAGACCCCTGGGACCCCTTGGCCAGTGAGTCTCCCAATTAACTTGGAGAGTTCTAGGCCAATGACAGAATCTGTGTCAAGAAAAAAAGAAAAGCAAAGAAATGGTGGCTGTGTCTTAGGAATGACACTGAATGTTGTCCTTTGGCTCTCACAGGTGTATGTACACCTATACAGAACATATATCTATACACAGATGAACATGCAACCACACACACACTAAGAAATGAGGGGCATCATGGATTGGGATTGGGATTCTGAAGACTCAACAAAGAAAATTCAATGTCCGATTCTTCAGAAAGACATTCAAGCAGCTAGCTGATGTCCCCTCTCAAATAGCATGCACTGGGTCATGACTCATACCCTTTTTGCTTTCTTGATGTTTGTTGAAGATTTTTAATGTAGACAAGGGAGATGTGTAAGTGTTTTTCCTTTTGGATCATGATGGATATTTATAGAAAAAGAACCCTTTCTGTTAGAGCCATTTGTCTTCCCATGTCCCCAGGGGCCGTGCTGTTGTAGTCACTCTTCTGAGTCCTACATCAAGTCAACATGTGGGATGCAAAGGTGACTGTGTGCAGTCACAGTCCCCAGGGAGCAAACACCAGCTGGGGCCCCCAACTGCCCTGCCAGACTCGTTTATTCTCTGGTCCTAGGTCCACTCTGCCGCCTTGTCATCTCCAGGCAGCCTCCACCATGGCAATCTCTTACTTTCTCTTCTTCATGTGTCCATAAATACCGTCAGCCCCAGACGCATGGTGGCATGTTCTGATCAGGAATCCATAAACATTTATTAAGCACTGCTATGGTCAGACACTATAGGCATCAGGTATGTAACTGTGAGCAAAAAGGACGTGGTGTCTCTCAGCGTGTGTGAGACAGATGTGGATTCGGTTCCAATTAATTACAGTTTTACAAGGATCCTACATGTGACATAGGGACTGTGATTCTCATTTTTCATTGGAAGAAATGGGCCTTGCTAATAACGTGCCTGAGGGTACAGAACTGTTAAACCCAGGGTTCAGTTTTAAATCTCCTGACTCTGGTCACAAGAGTACATACCCCTGCCCAGTTGTGCACCCTCTCTCCTCTATGCTCAAGTTCTTGTCTTCACTAGTTTGTAGGATCTGACCCATGTTGCTACTCTGTAGTGGGCCAGGCAGGCCTAGGGCCTTCACTGGGATCAGTCTCCTAGGTTATCCTCAAGTGAGCGACGTCCCTTCGAGTACCTTTGTGAGCTATTCCCTCAGCTTGCTCCACTTGCGTCAGTGCAGAGGACAGGGTGAGTCGGTCCTCACATTTGCCACTATGACTGTCAGAGGAACTATTACCCAGCTCACTCTGGCTAACTAAAGTCCTCCGGGCTTCCCTTTCTTTAAGGCATACATGAATATATACATGCAGACAGGCATGTAGGGAGAAGATCTACGTACCTGTACCAATGACCACATCCGTTTGGGCTTGGTCACAGGTGCATATAAAAGGCATGTGGAATAAAGGGCTGAGAAAAGGGACACACAAGCTCTTTTCAGGGTTCTGGTTGGGTCTCAGAGTGCAGCTGAAACTGGACTTCTTGGAGCACCTATCTGGTTATCGGCTTCTCACGTGAGTGATTCTCTTTTATAAATATACCATCAGTAACCTTATCCTGTGTACGGTTGCATTCCTTTTCACAGGCACACATGGGCATACACATATGTGTCCATGCAAGCACTTACATGTGATGCACACACTGCACATGTATGGACACACATACCCGATACACTGAGAAGACCTCTTGGCAGTGGCCACCGCCAACAGGCGAGCATGTGTCGGAGGTGCTCTGCTTTCAACTTCTAAATTCCAGCAGCTGTGCTCTGTATTCCCTGTGTGGGACTGAGAGCTCTAAGGGGAACTGCCCGTAGTTCTGGCGTGGTAAGCTATTGATGGTCTACTGTGCTGTGGAATAATCCTTTTGTACACTGTAAAGATTTGTCACTCGAATTTGTTTAATAAAATGCTGATCGGCTGATAGCCGATCAAATCAATCAAACTGAGGATGCTGGGAAGAAGATGAGCATCAGAGCAGATGCAGAGAGGGCAGGAGATGAACATGCCATGCTAATAAAGGTACTGCCATGTGGCAGAGGGTAAATAAGGAATATGGGTTAGCTGAAACTGTAAGAGCAAGTGAGTAACTGGCCGAGTATTTGTAATTAGTATAAGCCTCAGTGTGTTTATTTATTTGAGAGTGGCTGCAGGACAGGAAAACTCCGTCTACACTCCTGTTATGTATTCTATGTACCACTCCAAGGAGAAAAGTTGTCTTCAGGAGTGAAGCAACACACTGGGTTCCAGAATCCCGCTAGTGATAGGTCTGATTTACTCTTCAGTGTTCATATGGGGAGGGGAATAATTGACTAATATATAGCCTCTAAAACGTGTTCGGCACTATGGGAAGTAGGTATGTTTTTTTTTCTCCATTTTTTTATTTGAATTAGAAACAAGATTGTTTTACATGTCAATCCCAGTTCCCTCTCCCTCCCCTCCTCCCCTGCCCCCCCAACTAACTCCCTACCTATCCCTACACACCAGGGAGTGTGAGGCCTTCCATAGGGGGTTTTCAGAGTCTGTCATATAGTAGGTATGTTTTGTCTGTTTTTTTCTGCAATAGAAAACAATTTCTTTCATGGATGTATGCAGACCTGGCAGGTAAGCCAGCTCTTCTTCTGTGCTCTGGGCCTTGGGCTCTCATGGAAAACCCAAGAGGCTGTCCTGTCTCCGAGAAGTCTATTTTCCTACCTGGTTTTTACAACCACCATAACAGGAACACAGTGGTCATGTATATGGAGAAAATGAGTCACTTGTCCAAGGCCACATAGATCATAGGGCTGAGCTTGGGAGCGGAGATGAAGGACCTGCGGACATGCTTGGCTGAGTATTCGGACTCTTGTTGGCTTTTGGATATATTGGTTCAATAGCATTAAGTCAATTTTCTTTTTGAGAAAATATTTGCCTCAAAGGATTATCAGGAGATCACATGATGATGGCATTTAAAACTGTAAAATGGCATTAAAAACTAAGTTAAAGAGTGTATGTGTGTGTGTGGGGGTAATGATTCATGGTTGTAATCCCAGCACTTGGGAGGTGGAGGCAGAGATCAGGAGTTCAAGGTCACCCTCAACTATATAGTTGAGTTCCAGGCCAACTTGGGCTCGATGAGACCTTATCTCAAAACAAAAACAAAACCAACCAACCAAACAAACAAACAAACCAAGGAAAATCAGCCAACCAACTGAATACACACCATGCTCCCCTGCCTGCCCAAGAAAAACTCTGTACACTGTTATACCACTATTTAGATATGGTTTAGAGTGAAGACTTTGGCAACCTTGAACCTTGGCCCTCACTTGCTGCTCTATCTTGCTGGACTGGCTTTCACACTGGGCAGTAACCTGGCTGAACATAGGCCACCATGAAATCCCATAGTTCTCAGTCTTGCTGTTGGCCAAGGCCTCCTGTCCCAGCGCTGACCCAGGACAGTAGAGTGACAAGAGTGTACCATCTCTGAGCATATTCTCGTCTATATGTCTCCCCCCAAGTCCATGCCTATCCTTTCCATTCTGAACTGTGCAGCTAGTGTCAGGTACAAATGTATAATGTTTGTGTTCTATTAGCTACTGTAATGCAGAGATGTTTTCAAGTCTTAGTTCTCAACCTTCCTAATGCTGCGACCCTTTAATACAGTTCCTCATGTCCTGGTGACCATAAAACTACTTTCATTGCCACGTCATAACTATAATTTTGCTACTGTTATGAGTCATAATGTAAGCA